ACGTTCTTGAGTCGTGTTCCCGTCAAGAACAGACCGCCCGAACTCGACCGCTAGAGTGCCGAAGTGAATACGTCACGCGCACAATTAGTGTGTAAAAGATATAAGCGCGAGAACCAGCGCGTGAACCAACACGCGCGAGTAGTCCATTCGTTTGCACTGCACTTTCTGGTTCACAGTTACGTCACACTTCGGGTTTCTATTAACCTTATTTTAAATGTTTGGTTTGCAATTTTAACCCATATTTTGATGTTCTGTTGTTTGTTATGCTAATGCATATTTGCATATTCATGAGTAGAACTACGGTGTCGTCCAAGGCGCTTAATCTCAATGCTGCACTGATTTGTGCACAGAATATTTCTAGATTTTTTTAACCACTGCTATGGAAGATTTCATTTTCTTTGGCAATTTATTGCTGTGTTAATATATGGCAATAATCCAGCAAAATCCTTTTTCACAGCAATGTTCCCAGATAGCAATTTTGGATTCACAATTTGAACATTAAAACATGCAACCTGAACCATGTTTTCCAGGATTTACATCAAATCAAAAACGCCCTCACTTGTCCAGAAATGCTTGGTCAATTTCTAATGTTTCAAAAAGTGCACCGTTAACTCAAAAAAGATGTCAAACAGTCTTCATACATTGAAGAAGAGTATAGATATATAAAGAAAGTGATTCTTAGAAAAATTCATTTCCTGATTCTTTTAATCTGGCCCATGGAGATGCAAAACAATGCGGTTGCAACAGTTGAAAAGAAGAGATAGCAGTACCGAAGAGCAAAAAAAGTGACTGTAATTTGGTAGCACATGTCAAAAAAAACGCAGGCGCGCTGCACGTAATGCGCACTGAACGCACTGTCATCCACCGTTCCGCCCATTGTTTGCCCATACAGTGTACGCGCAAGACTGGCGGTCTTTGCGTTTGTATGTCTGTGGGGAGGATAGGGCTTTGGTGATTGGGCAGACCTCTCACGCACGTCCAAATGACCCTGGACACGCCTCATTTTCGGCATGTGCTTTTGGAATGCCCAACCGGCTCCATGAAAATAGTACATCACGACGATTAGCGGTATATTGCTTGATGTTACCTCTCGTCGCCCGAAGTTACATAGGAAACCTATACACCTCCTAAGCGTACATTGAATTTATTTTAGCTTAAACCTACTTGATGTTCAAGATATTGTGTACCAATTTAGTTTACCCTATAAAAAGGTCCGTAACTATCGCAACTTCCTTACTGCATCTTGTTAGAATAGCTTACGATAAGCCCGGTTGCCGTAGTACTTCTGTGTGGAGCAAAATAGGCAACATTATGGTCATAAATGTGGGTCAAATATACAAGTCAGGTTGCACTCTGGGGGAGGTATTTTATCTCCCAAAGAATCTAACATGGGAACTTTACTGTTACCGAAATTTGAAGTGTTTGCGTGAGAGACACAGCACTCCACGCCGTCACGGATCGACCTAGAAAAAATTCCAGGTGGTAAAGTGGCTTTCCCTGTGGCGTCAGACCGGGGATAGCACGTTGAGTGCGTTGTACAGTACCGGAGAAGGCCTTCCATTGGACAGTCTTGTCACATGACAGCGCGTCGTTGCCCCTCCCCCACCCCCTTTTAACTCTTGGGGGTACTTTGAGACGNGACGAGTGGGTGAAACGCCCCCGCCACAACCCCCCCCCCAAGTAAGTCCAAAAAGTCGGAGACCTTTTCGTGCCAACACCGTACTGGCACGTATCTTGTCGGTGCCAAAAGGGCGCGGACTTGAGCACAATTGGCAAGGGGGGGTAACGATGTTTGTGGCGTGCCTATTTTCCGTTTATGTTTGTCGACTTAATAGACATAAAATCGTCATGTTTATTTTGCTCTAGTGACACGCAAGAGTTCGTGCCAGGGTCGGCAACGTCTTGCGTCGAGGGTTATCGTCAGGGCCTTGTGCTCAAAAGCGTTAGCAAGAAAACAGCATATTTACCGTTGGAAGAGACGAGCTCATTTCTGAAAAAGAACACTCCGATATCAGAAAATATTTTAGCTTTGTTAAACCAATAAATAAATCAAGAAAGCGTACAAAACATCAATTTCTCCTTGAATCAGACTTTATAATTTTAAGAGACTCACGTCTTCTGCTGACTGATTCTTAAGCTATTGCCCATTAGGGATATTATACAATAAGCCTATAATGAAATGGTAAAATTACCCATGAAGGTAACACGCTGATTCTAGATAAAGAAAAACATTTTTGTCCAATTACGAAGTACTGTGGAAATATTCATGCTATCTGACAGAGAGAAAGACCTGACCACGATAGTGTTCTGTCCCTCACCCTGGGGATCGTAAGGGGTAGGGCAAAGGGGGCCTCCCCACACCCCATCCCCACATTAAAAGGAACAAAAGCAAAAGAAATCAAAAAGGAGACATAACATGACCAATTTCGTTTTTAAAAAAATCCTTTAGCTCCGCCTTCCGCCTTTCGTAGTAGATCAGTTCGTTGCTGGTGAGCGCTTTGCTCTTCCAGGTGAAAAGTGCATTCACCTTTGATAAACTTGCTCTTCCCCCGGGAAGAAAAACCTAGCGATTCCCAGATCCCTCGTGGCACCGTCTTCAGCCAGGGCAAGAGACCTTTTTGTCGCTAAAAATGATTGACACGAACTCTTTACAAAGCCAAAAGGGCACAGACTTCGAACACAAAAGGCAGGCATGGAGTGCAAAGGTTTATGCTAACTTATCGAGATAAAGCTTGAGGTTTGTATTGAGACAAACACTGGTGTCGGCGACCTTTATAGCATAAACATTATCGACTTTTGTCAACAAAAAAAATGATGCCGATATGAAAAATGGCCTAATTTACTTCAAAGAATCTCTCGAAATGTTTGTAAAACAAACAGAGTTTTTGCACTCCAGCAATGGAGAATAACACCACCAGCAAATAGAAGCAAGGATGTGGAGACCGTAAGGCTTTGGAACCCCCCCCCCCAACACCATGTTGAATTTGCCCCACTAACAGCAAAAGCTGGATATGCTCCTGGCTATCCCACCTGCTTACCCGCAATACACCAAGTATTTGGTTAATAAATCCCTATGTTATAATTCAACGCGTAATCTCTCCTTACACCATCTTTCATAGAAACTTTTGAAAGCGTTCAACTCCTACAAAAACACCAGTAAGAGAAGAGGACAAGCTATCTGCTCAGCTTAAAAAAGAAAACCCAATAAAAGTAGCAATAATATGTGGCTTCCAATGCAGAAATTCAACAAAACTACAAAGGCTGGTCCCTAAATAAATGCAATGGGAAGATCTTCGTTTGAACTTGAACGGACGTTTAAAGCACTAACTTATCCGAAATATAATGTACATTTTACAACTCTGCAGCTATATCGGTTTAATCCAAATATACTCTACATTAAAAGGTCGCATGACAAAGCTGGCCTAATACCAATCAGGACGTTGGAAATAATCCAACAAAAAATGTACCGTAATTAGGAACTGCACCACACAAAAAGACTATAGAAGAGATCAAAGAGGTCTTTAATGATAACCCTGGGGAAACGCATATTTTCTTCCGAAACTCCAGACTCCTTTGAGAAAAGTCAACTGGACTTTTCAACGATAACATGACACAAAATGCCGGAGCATTTAAGTTATGACAGGCCGTGGTATCACATCTTATCCATTACACTCAAAAATACACAGTTTCGGTAGAATATCTGCAAGCATTACTATGTATAGTTGCCTCACAAAAGTCAAGAAGTGAATATAATGCATTCTGCTATAAAATGTACGTCGAAATCTACAGTAATATGAAAACTTTTCAATTATTATAATGATTACAGTCCATATGAAAGATATAAAAAGAACTATAGCTGAAACTGGTGTAGATTGCATGTTCACACTTTTCGAAAACCAACTCAATACATGTACGCCAAGATACGTAGATATATTAAAGAATTCCGGAAATCAATCCCAGCATAATTTAAAGGCCATTGCAAAGATAGAATCTTCACAAAAATTTCTTATTTCGTCCTGTCAGCAGTGATTACAAAATGCAAGCATAGGGTGCAAAGCATATCGCGCGCACCTCCTCGAAGCAGCTCTTCGCAAAACAAGTAAAGCACAGCTAAACTCTGTTCATATTTCTATCATCATCGGTCAGATCCAATACATTTTCTTTGAGAAAAACAATTTTATTGATTAAACCTGTTGTTAAAATCAGACGTTAGAACGATTTGAATACAAGCAGCAGCAACGAAATCGACAGGCTGCTATTTTGTGTCTAGAAGTTGGCAGACTTTGCACGCTACATTCTCACCATAAAAATGATTAGATGGAAACGAGAAATAAAACAACTCTCGAATGAGATGTCAGAAATACTCGTCACAGTCTGATGTCTTTTCTTGCTATTTAATTTCTCTGGACAGCTTTCAGCATCAAACTCTTTGGAGCAAGGAACCCGGTCTTCCCAAGGGTAGGCGGGATCTGAAATGAAGCAGAGGCAAACAAATTAATGAAAAATTACTCGAGTTAAACACGCAGACAGAGGTACCCCTGGGAATCGTCCATGCGATATTGTCCTATTTTCTCGGACAAGGGACAATGCTACTCTACTACTCCGTTTATTTTCTGTCGTCTTACCTCGGTTTCCGAGCTGACATCGAAGCGATACTGTTGCAGCACACGGACCAGCGCCATCTTGGATTCCAGCAGGGCAAAGCGCATACCTATGCAGTTACGGGGACCGAAGCCAAATGGCATGTAGGTACACGGCTTAATGGAGGCCTTGTTCTCAGGGCTGAATCTGAACGGGAAAAATGCCAAAAAATTAAAATAAAACAGTTGGCACTGTACAGTTCTGCCTATTTCTGTCTGAAATATTGTAAGCAGCAAAAAATTGGAAATTAATTTCCCAACAATTGATAGACCTTTAAAGTAAGGCCATGAAGATTTTTGGACCGAGAAGACCCAGTGTAAAGAAACGTCATGTGGGCACACGGGTACAGAACTTCAGACTCGTACTGTCTACTGTCTCGACGCCATTCAGAATAAGCGTTTCCAATCTGAGCTGAAAACTCTAAGTATTCAACTCTGAAGTTAAAAAACACGAGATTCTTCTTTTCACAAAGCTGATGGCTCACCTTTCGGGGTCGAATTTGGTCGGGTTTGGCCAGAACTCCTCGTCGTAATGTAAGGTCCAGAGACTTACGAACACGTTGACACCCTTTTCGATAGTCAGACCGTCATAGGTGATTGTCTCGTTGCACATGCGATCAAATCTGAATTATGAATAAATTAAATCCTTTAAAAATAAGTATAGCTCCAAAAGGCTCAATCTTTCAATCATAGAAAAGAGGCAGTTAACCGTGATTTGACTCGTGAACGGAACGCTCCTTACATGACGGCTGGAGGGTACATGCGCAGTGACTCATTGATGACCATGTCCAAATACTCCATCTTGGCGATGACGTCATAGCCAAGATTGTCTCTCGTGGGAGCGAGGTCGTCAATCTCAGCGTGTAGCTTCTCCTGCACGTCTTGGTTGGTGGCCAGCAGGTAAGCGGTGAAGCTAAGCAGTGTATTGGTTGTCTCGTACCCAGCCAGGAAGAAAGTGATAGCCTAATCAAAACAAAAGTTAAATCCCGCTGGAAAAGTTTCTCCGTCTATATCGTCAGTATAGAACAGGTTAATGGAGCGACGTATTGTAAGAATGTTTTGGGACACGTTCGTCCGGTTGTAAAAACTGTGACAAAAGCCTTAACGTTTAACATTTGTTTTTCCTCTGTACGATAAATTTTAAAAATTCACTTTCATTGAAAGTTTCCAGTATACCATTCAAATAGACAACAAAGGCAATTGCGTTGCTTTGCTCTAGTTTTGATCAATTCTGTGCCACCTTGAGTATTTGGTTGTGAACCGTGGTTCAGCTTCATACGTGCGATTGCATATATAGCTCGAGTACACAGAAATTTTGGGACGGCAACTCGCATGCGCAGTGCACTTGCAGCGCATAATGATACTTTCCTGCTTCGTGGCAAACTCGTGCTCGCACGGCGATGCACATACCAAGGCATTCCAGGTACTAATTCATTGAACAGTCACGTGATTTTTAAGTCTCCCATAATGCTTTCTTCTATCCCGAGGACGCTCACCTGAGCCATGACATCGATTTTGGACAAAGCCCTGCGATGGACCACGCCCTTGTCCGTGCCGTTCTCAATGGTGGGCGTGTCTTCCTCGTCGTGCTCCTCGTCATTGTGGGCGTTCAACATCAGTTGCAAGAAATCGATGTGCTGTGAAATCATTTCAACATGAAGCTAACATCAAGAATGAATACTAAATCATCAGGATTTTTTATTCTTCAGAAGCACTTATGAAGTGTTAGACGCGTGCATTATATTTTCCTACGTTTATAAGATCTCTTGACTCAAATGTATATCACGTGTACAAAGTACTAATTATAGGTGCCTTCAAGCCCACCTTAAGATCCGATCTGGTAAAGGTTTCCCATGTCAAACAATTTACATTTAGCACCGGGCAGGTGTTTTGTCTTCATATTGTGAGGATGTCCCTTAACCAAAACGCCACAACTGCTTTGTTCAATCTCAAAATGAACTGCCAACAATGCGAGATGCACATTGAATCAAAGGATTTAGATGTTAACACAAGATCGTGAATATTCATACACATATACGAACGGTTTAGCTGTAACTTTGATATCCACTGCATTCAAACTCACGGCGTGTGACAATCTCACTTTTAAGGCATAATTATTGGAGTTCTAACAGACCCAACGTCGCATCTTGACCAACCTTTGAAGCCTCGCTGCCCTCCTGTCTGCGGATGTTGCATGCTGCCTCCGTCACATCCATGAAAAACTTGACGGTCTTCGGATCAAACAGGTCGAATTTCAGATAAGCAAGAACGGGGGCCAACGCAGGAAAGGCAGCTGAAAAACAACAGGATTTTCAATCAAATGTGTGCCTTAGAATGTAGTTTTTCGCTTGCTTTATTCAATATTAGATAAACCAATTCCAGAGTTCAAGTTGAAAAGCGTTATTTTTCGGGGCAGCTAAATGGTTGATTTCAGGTCCTGTTTTCCCATTCCACTGACAAAATCAAAATGGACCTAGAAATTTTTAAAATATTTGAACCAAAATCGAAAAGGGCTAATTGAATTTGTTGGGGGCAGACTTAATGGGTTTTATTATGAACTAACATTAATGCCACAAATCCATTCCAAATGTTATCCAGCTTTGTGGCTTTAATTATTAATATTGGTGTTTCACAATAGTGCACCCCAAGAGTTTGCAACGCGTTGGCCAATCACAATGCACGAAATCTGTTGACCCAATGCGCGTTTGGAAAGGGTTGACAGATTTCGCGCGTTGTGATTGGCCAACGCATTGCAAACTCTTGGGGCGCACTATTGTGAATCGCCCCTATTAACCCCTTCGTGATTTATTCATTCATGATGATGCACTAGACCTAAAAATGTGAGATTTCCGTTTCATTTTGAAACAAAAGATCCACTCTAGGATGAAATGGTAATGAAAACCACTCACAGACTATCATGAAAGCAGGATTGAAGAGGCTGAACTCAAACGCCTTCTTGGCATTCTGGACAAACGGGTCGTCCTTGTTTTGCTGGGAGTCAACCTTGAGACCGAATCCACACTTCGCGATGGCGTCCATGGTGAACCCCCCAAACAACCTACAGAAAATCACCCGCTGAACTTTTTCAATCACCTTGACTTTAAAAACAGAATGCATTTTTAGTACCCTCTTCCAAAGAGTCGAAATCCTTTCAATGCATTCAACGGAAAGCGTTTCCACGGGCGTAATACAGGCATTTCACGTCAGCCAATCACAATGAGAGAAATCCGTCGACCCAATGTGCGTTTGGAAAGGGTTGGCAGATTTCGTGCATTGTGATTGTAAACGTGTTGTCAACTCTTGGGGGTGCGCTATTACAAATCGGCCGTATTGCTATTACATACCGGTAACCAACAAAGTAATTTTCAAGGCAAACCGCAGGTGAGGTAACCCTGAATTATTTCAAACCAAAGCGCGCAACGGGAATTTTGTTTCTCTCGAACGTATAGCATTGGATTCCCAAGCCCACTCCAAAAATATTCAGTTGGAATTTTTCGGGCAGGGAAGATGTAATTTTAAACACATGTATTAGGTTAACCGTTTCCGACACAATTTCTTAAGTGCCAGGAGCTTGGTGCCTTACCAAACCTTGTCAGAAAAATAAACAAGCTGACAAAACAAAATATTCAACCAAACTTACACCCTGCAGTCGGCAGATTTCCCGCCCTCCTGCGCCTTGCTGAAGTTTGTCACAAGAGTGTCGCAGCACTCGTTGATCATTACCGACATCTGCGACAAGAAGTTTTTTAAAAAGATAAACCACTTCAACATGACGACCAACTGTCTTGTCATCCTTGCATTTTCCTATAGATTGCGTTGAACGAGTTTTCGCCTCAAGACATTTTGGAGAAGGCCTACCTGTCTCATCTTGGAGGCACTGAATGACGGAGTGATGACGTTGCGTGTCTCTTTCCATTCCTCATTCACAAGCTGAGTCAAGCCCCTGTTGAGAGGTTCTTGACCGAGAGGGAATTTCTACGGCAGACAAAATGAAAGATGCAAAAAGGTAAAAACCCTACTGAGGCCTCTGAACGAGTACAATAGCTTTCCTCAGAGGAAAGGTAGCTTTTTATAAGTCTTATATTTGTTGTAATCGCTTACTGGAGATTGTGTCAAACTTTCTGGTGGCATATAGGACACGGTTACGTGTAAAATGAGCAAAAAGCTATACAGAGAGAGATTTTATGTGAAAATGAGTAACACAAAGATTAGAACAGTAGCAGTGGCGACATTGAGGTCACACTGTTTTAGGTTCTTACTCTGCGATTGTAGAAACTGGAGAAATTCTTGACCAGAACGTTCTTCAGAATGTCAGGATCATTGACGATCAGAACTGGACGCCGGAAATCGTACATCCTGAAAGAATCAAGGGCAACTTGACGAATGTGGCCGACACATTGCCAGTTAACTACACGTAACACTGATCGCTTCTCGGTAATACAGTTGGATCTACATATTTCCAACTCACTGCACTACACTACGTCTAGTTATATTTCTACACACTTTCAAGAATTCCTTAAATGGTTAGTTTGATCTCCACTGTACAAATGCCTCGATTTTACCTAAGAAAAGGCAACTCAAAATAATTCTTGTGATCGATTTCCCTTACCGTCGTCAATTAAAAAATATTATCCGGGTCAAATTTCAATATCAGAATTTATAATATAATGAACATGTATCTTGCTATCTCTGAATGTTGTTAAAAAACTTCAATGCGAAATCACGGCGTCAAAATAATAACGACCTTCACTGTTGTATACTGTTATTTTACGTACCCGACGACTCTTCCATGCTTCTTTACGTAATCAGTAAAAGTCTTCTGAACGCCCTGTGCGAAGATATTCATACCAAAAAAGAATAACACAACATCGTCTATTGATTTGACACGAAACAGCTGTTCCAGGTATCGAAACAATCATTTGTTCCACGGCACCAATGATTGGAACTTCGTTTCAACAGGAGCACTGTTTAGACAGCATACTGCTCATAATAAAGAAACACCTAGGTTCTAATCTTTTGTTCCTGGTTGTTTTCTTTCCTGATAGTACATGGTTCCTGTTATAACAAGGTAATCTGCAAATTCCGAAGAACTTCTTATTATCGACGTTCGACTGAATTGGATTTACACAGCAACGGATCTTACATGGCGCCACTGTAGGATGTTGCCAAAGAAGGGGATATAGTCTGGCACCGGGATGCCTCGTCTCTGGAAGTACTGGTGGCACCACCGATCATACCTGGAATCAAGCGGGAACAGTTACAAACGCTAACGATTTGCCCAAGGGCTCGTTTAGAAAATTTCAGTTTATTATAGTTAAGAATTTTGAAGAAGGTCTCGTGTTTTAGAAGTTGTTTCGCGATTCCCTGAGCGCCTCTCAACTGAAAAACGAATTACAGTTTTTAAAATTCCACTATTGGGAAAAATGGAACAAACTTTTTATCTTAAGGCAGGGTTGAAATGTTAGTCTTAAGTTTCGAATTCAACATCCCGTATCCTAAGGGAATGCAAGCATAGTTTTCAAATGGTGCTAAAGCGACCCAAACCACAGTAAATAGTAATATTACATAATGTCGTTGAGCTTTGTAAAGTTTCCCGGGAATATTGTAGGAAACCCAGATGAGCGAGATTAGAGAAAAGCACCGCAGACTTCTGCGCCCCCTGTTCCCGCTTTTTGAATTCTTTTCTTGCTTTGCGTGTTATTGCAATTTCTACGGTAACATCCCGAACTGCGGATAATTTTCTACAGTGCAATGTACGTTGGCGCTTGGCAAATAAATCGATGGTAATAAGTGACCTCCAAAGCTGAATAGGCTGGGTGTGCGTGACAGGCGGTACTCACAGGACAATGCGACTTTCTACTGCACTTGGGCAATGTCCAACAATGAGTCTGCCACCGTGTACGACCCTTCATTGTGTAAGCATGGTACGACAGCCAAGTTGAGACATGTCAAAGTGGGCGCTAACGTTGCATACAAAGCACAGCTAGAGTAAAACTGTGAGAGCAGCGGCGGAAAAGAGCCCCCCCCCCGTTCTGTGCCCCCCGAGCCCCCCCCCCCTCATATAAGAGAACGAAAAATGTGGCGATACCATCCTTGCCCGAACCCCCTCCAGAAAATAAGGAACCCCTCCATGTCCCCTGCAAAGTGTACCCATGGAGGAAGGAATAGTCTCCTCCCTCCTCCAATTCCTTCCTCCATGATGTACCCCATGCAGTTACGCCCCTGCGGAGGAGACACAACGTAACTAGTGGTGACTCCTACCATGGAGGTACCTCCATGATTCAAGTTAGGTTACCTGCGCTGCGTTCGAAATTGCAAACACTATCGATCAACACATCGTTGTAGGGTTTGAAAAGACTAAGTACCTACCATGCTGCCACCAACACAACGCAAATGATGAGGAACCAAGTCAGAGACAGCTCAAAGCCCAACAGTTCCATGTTCGGTAACAAATCAGGATATTTTTGCACAAACTTCACAGATTAACTTCAAAGAGTTGTCCCTCACGGCACTGACGCCGATTTATATGCAGGCAGGCACCTACAGTCGATTGCACAATATTATTACTGTATGGCAGGGTCCATTTCACTAAAAGGGGTGGTCAGGAGTTGTGTTTACGTTTTCACTTAAAAAGAACAATTACATCATTCTTTATTTATAGAGGGATTGCGCATGTTGGTCCACGTTGGACTGGATGATATCATGTAAGCCTTGGATTTCATATTTTTCTCAGAATTAGTCGGATCATTTCCCACCAAAAGTGGCCAGTATGATTTTTTTAGACCAGCCTTTTGCATCAGTTAAAAACCAAAGGACTCCTCAGTCACGCACGTCCGAAGAACGTGAAAATGTTCAGTTCTTTAAAATCAATGGGCCTCATTTAACAGTGCATTAATTCCTGCATGACCGATCGGTCTTGACTTGTTCGTCCATGATCATGAAACATGACAACTGCATGATAGACTATCTTTAGTGTCAGGGGAACTTGAAACTGTGATACAATTACTGCAAGTCAAGGGAAAAGTTATAAAGAACACTGAATGGTCAGTGTGCTGCACTGGAGCGGGTTATTCCTTCCTCGCTTTGCACCAGTGAGGCCCCGGGGTCGAGTCCCAGCTTGTACATTTGGTTTCCAGTTGATACTCGCTCTCGCAGGTTCTCTCCGGGTACTTCAGTTTCCTCCTGCCTCTAAAACTGGACCTTCTTCCTAACTCCGTAATGTGATGCTGATTAATAAAGGCTATTAATAAATGTTTAATTATTGGCGCAAATAGCCTGAGTAGCTAAAAGCGCTTTTATAACAACAGCGTGCTTCATGGAGGACCATCAATTTCTCCTCCAGCAGCGGGGTTCTTTGGCCAAATGTAACTTGAGGAGGCCGGGAGCTTCGCGCAACCGACAGCTGTTTTATGTTTAAGAAATTACACGGAAGAAAGGGACGTGTCTCCATACATGAATCTAGGCTTTCTCGTTTGTCCTTAATTACACTGACCAAAAAACAGTTACACGGCCTTCTTCCCCCAGACCAACAATCCATACTAAGCTCCCAAGAAACATAAATGCATGCATGTGACACTGAATAGTAGTCTTCCCACTTCCTCATTTTTGTCTTACGAAATCGTTGATCCTTGCAAACTTTGGGTCAACCATTCCCTTCCTCATGTTTTCCTGTGTTTTTCCCCAACTGGTTTCGAAAGTGTTGTTCCTGTATTGTGGTACCGACAACAGGTTAATTTGCATCAGCGCCACTAGTCCATCCATAAGCGCGGCTCATGCATGGCCTCGGTGCGACCAGCCCGTCTGTACATAGAGCGAAAACGTGACCTAATAAGGCATAAACTGCTTTAGCCCAAGATATATTGACACTTGTTATCAGTGCATGCTCAACGTTATTTGTGCGTATTTATCCATCAACTAACTTTAAACCCGATAGTGCAACCCGAGTTCATTTCACAAAGAGCTCTTTATGGCACAACCAAGTCGGCACGCAATGTCCGACTCGTGATTTCTTTTTGGGACTGTCACGATCTATCATAGGCACAGCGGCCAACTTGAGTTCTTCCAGTTTCATTATCTGCTTTTGTTGAGATCTGCGACAAGTACCCAAATTTGACAGGATTTCGTCGACTTAGGCATCACCAAAAAACTAACAATTTGTATTTAGTGTATGATTTGGAACGGTATTTTTGAGATGTTTCGAAATACAGGCCGAATATACAGAAACATAATCCTTTCAATTATCCTGTCGTCCGCCCCAAACCGTTTGTTTCTTTAATGAATCTGTCCATCAGTGTCGGCAATAACAGGAATCTCAATACCGCTGCACACTTCGGTACACTTGAAAAGAGGGCAGTGATTTCTATCTGAGACTAGAGTGAGAGTTTTTGGCCAATCAGCTGCCGGCATTCATCTTTGAACAAAAATAAACTAAAACGGTACTTCCCTCCCTTTAAGTAGAACAAAAAACGTACACCGATTAAAGAAACTAGTTGTCCCAGTATTCTTAAATTGACAAATTTTCCCATGTAACTTGACAATTTAACATCAGTGCTTACTTCTTTGAATATTCAGAAAAGATATCATTTACACTGTATCAAGCTGGAATAGTTTGTGAGAAATGCTATCGAAGCACTCGAAGTGTCAAACGATGCGATTATCAACGGGATATCTTTGTTCGTGGGCTACATGAGTGCCTGTTTTATGATCACAACACATTTATACTGTCGGACAGTTTTGTCCATTAAGATTAGGCTTGAATTACAAACTTATACGCCGCTGTGCAGATGTGCAGACACCAGGACATCAGTCGATTTGTGGAAAATTTTTGTGACCCGAGATAGTAAGGTTTCTTTCTATATCACTGTAACAAAAGTTAGTCATTTTTGTGCTCAAAATGACTAATATGGGTAAGTCGGGTCTTGATGACTTATTAAATCAAGACAGGACTAATATTTAGTCAACAGTGACCGACTTTGTTCAAATTTGATAAATGTTTGACTTATCTTTGAGTTATTCATTGGCCTGTCTAATTTAATTTGGTCATTTTAGACAGAGCTGAACTAACTTGTTTTAAGTCAAAATGACAAATTTTTGTTCCACAGTGATTAGATACTATTGTGTTTTGGATCTCTTCATCGTCCCAGTTTTGCAAATTACGATCATATTCAAGCTCCGAGTCTAGCAGTCTTGGCAGGTGGTCTACATCCCAACCCTCCTCGCAGCCAAATTGCTACACGTACTCAATAAGGAATTGACCGTTGTGGTGCAAGAAACTGCATATTATTCGAATAAATATTTATTCAGAAATCCTCTCAAGACAATAAACAATTATAGCGCAAGACATTAGGAGGATACTTAAAGATTCTAAGGCAGACTTAATGATGACCTCATATTTACATATTTAATTGCATTTCACTCTTCACACGACCAGCTTTTAAAATGCAGGTATGACATTGCAAGACTGGGGGACTCTTGCGATATTGACCTATGCATGCCAAGTTTGAAATCGGGTCATATAGACCCCCCAGAATATCAAGGGAATGATTAAACATCTCGAGTTACTGTATTTCGGAAATATTTCTCTAATTTTGTTCATAATGTTTGGAAATAGCGAAATCTAGTAATAGTTTTAAATGTAAATGTTTTTAATGTACAACACACAATTGACGTAAGATGTCCTACGTCACAAATGCTGGTCTCCATTTCAGCATGGAGTTATAGTGATTCTACGGCTAATGATTAATTGGTTAAGAAACTACATACAATTCCAATATAAACTTAACTCCCTTTGTCCGAGAAAGATTTAGAATTTAGCAATATCTATTTTGTCATCCGCGTAAAGTTTTGTCTTTAAAATTAAGTTATTAAGATAGAAAAATACAGAAAAAGGCAAGGCATCTGTTTGAATAATAAATGAACCTCTATTGCTGAAGAAAACATTCAGTTCAGAGTATATAGATTGAAATTCAAAAGATCAAGTTGTACAAAATGAAAGGCGTTGTTTTAAGAACATTACCTCCATGTTCTGCACAAAATTCCTTTTTTTTTAATCGCGTTGAAAATGTACCCCAATTTCAATTCAAAAGAGGTCTCCTTATACTTTTTCAACCTTGTTCTCAGTAGTTTTCCGAACAAAGCAGCCATGTTACAGTCCTTTTTCAGAGAACATCGGAACAGAACTAAATCTAAGGAGATCCCATTGTGATGTCTTCTTGGCCCAATGGGAGACAGGGTCTGTGGGTGTGGCACTAGGATACAAAGTAATGGGGAAGTAAAGAGACCATTCAGCTCTCGGACAACTTCATGGCCAAATCTGTCAACCTTAAATCAAAATTAACAAAGTTTGTTTTTTAAACCATGCTTAAACTGATGAGACCTAGGTGCAGCATTTGGTCACAAAATTGTTGCATATTTTCAGCTGCCTTAAAAACTGTGTCTGATGCATCTCCATCCAAGATAATGTCGTTGCTTGGTGTTTGTTGCCATGGCGACATCTCATCAGTGAGTGTAAGTCCTCATCAACCCAGCCTGTGCTTCATCTCCTTGGCAGACACATCTTGGCAGACATCCTTGGAGATGGCTGTGGCGTGAAGAGAAAAGGAAAAGGAGTAATTCATGAGTTTTGACGTATTTCAAAATTTTGACATTTCAGGGGTGAGATATTAGAGAAAGATGAAAACTCCAGTAAACATCCAGGAGAGCGGATTCTATAAATAACATTAACATACAGTAGTTTTCACGGCATCTAGTCTATCAAGACCTTCTTATAAGTGACTGCGATTATATGAATCTTGCACTTTTTCTTGCTTCGCACAAGGTACCGAAAAGGAGCCTCACCTGGACAATTGAACCTACCAGGTTCAAAGTCAGGAAATCAAGAAAAACACGAGAAATCACACCCCTGTTATTTGTGGAAGAGAACATGCAATACTCCAAATTACTCACCACTGACTCAGTCACACTAGATGCTTTAGCCTCAGTGATGCCTCAGAGATGATCCCCCGTCATAAACCGTCCGATCCCACTGCTGATGTGTGCTCCAAGCCATCAGTTCCCAACGGTAGCAAACATCTGGCAGTCTGGCATCCAGTTAGAGAGCATTCAGGAAAAAAAGAGAATGGAAAACAAATTTTTAAAAATTAACCGATTTGTAGATTTAACTTAAATCCTGTGGTTTAGTTTTTGAATTCTTCACTTAAAAAGGACCTTAATTTGGAACTTTTATCCACTTTTAAGTTCTTGACATGGGTCATTTCAGGCAACATTAAACTGGACACATAAAATGCTTCTTATAAAAATATGCCTGATTTTTATGGCAATCTCGTTATTAAGGACGCATCACAATAAGGGGCTCACAGACAACCTCTCTTGAACTGAATACATCATTCTGTATCATTTCAGGGGGAAATGGCAAAATCAAGTACCTTTTTAAATTTGGAAGTGCTTCCTAGTGATCGACACTTCATCCCATCAGTCCCC